TTATTATTTATTGTTTATTATTTATTGTTAAAGTAATTTATAAATACAATGTACGTTCTCCTATTTTTTCTGGAAATAAAAATCATGTAAATTTCAACTGCAATATTTTTCTTCTAAACACATAGAATTTTTATAATCTAATTAAAACGATTAGTCAAAGTTTAGTTTTTTATATAAAACGAAGTGCACGCGTGAATACATATACACAATCGAAACTTAAATTTTGATAAAGTGTACTTTAATATAATTTCTAAGTATAATTTCCTTTGGATAAATTCTTTGCAATTTTTTAAGGATGATTCTATTGAGAAACATATGATAAAACGATGATATGTTTGATTATCATGATTACAATGGTGTACCAATGGTTGCGTTCAATAGAGAAAGCAGCTTTGCAACTGTTGTAAAATTCTTTAATATGATTGGTCTTGCCCTTAGTTCTTCATTGGATCTAAACATATAAACCAATCATATTCAAGAATTTTACAATAGTTGCAAAGCTGCTTTCTTTGCTGAACGCAGCCAATGATATGTTTCTTCTAGTTTGTAATACCTAAGCAACATTATTTGCTACGACAGTAACATCGAACAATACGGAACGATTCTAACGATTCTATTCTCGTGACGTCTGCTTAAATCAGGCTCTTGTCTGACAATCATCACATTATTCGATGGATGAAACAGCGTTAGTTATTCCTGTTAATTATAAGGTATGACAATTGTTCCCGGGGTCTCGCTCGTGCGGTATAATCGTGAACGAAATTAATATTTTGGAGATTGTCGCTTTAAATGTGTATTTACTTCTGTCCACGTGTGTTTACACTTTTTACAACGTGCAAGTGTTGTCTGACAAGGTAACACGAAAAGTGACGCCCGCGCCGTAAGATCCGGTTTCATTTTGTATCCGCGAGGCAAAGCGATCACACGAATAATTTTTTCGTCATGATGCGTTGTATTGGCGTGTCGTTCGCGACGAGGATAATCGGAGCATATACGATGGTAAGTTCAAGATTTCATGTATTCATAGTAGAATATTCCCGTATTCTTTTCATACATTCACATAATACAGCGGTGTTGTCTAATTTTAATTCACGTATTATCTATAACTAGATTCTAATATCGAATGTAATCGTATCGAAGAAAAGAAATGTGATATCGAAAAATGTTTACAATAATTATTGTCACATTATTATAATAATTACACATCAAGTCCAATGTGGAATATAAAATCTGTTTCAGTCTCCTTTGATGTAAGCAGGCACATAATATTTCCGGTGCCGAGGCAGTCAATATAATGGATGATTATTATTGAATTCAAAATCAAATTAATTAATCATACTTTCTACGTTATTTTAAGTCTGGAGTTTAGATATATTTTAAGGGAAATTTCTTGTATTACTTTTATGTTAGAGATATTTTTATTCGTATTAAATTACTTCATTAAAAAATAAAATACAATAATACAAGAATAATTCCTAAATAGTTGTCGAAATATTTTTGTACAAAGATATGCCGTTTTGAAAATTTATATCAATCATTATATTAATAGATATATTTTTATATTTATTTGTAAATCATTCAATTTTTCGTGTATTTATTCTTTTTTCAGTCCATTTCGATTTTATTAATAAACGTGTTGATAAGCAAGTTTTTTTCAAGAGATAGCGATGATGATTTTTTCGAATCTGCCAAGACTTGGGCTATACTAGGATTAAATTGGATGCAAGCAATGCAGAAGTACGTAGTGGGAAAGAAAAAAGGTAAGACTTGACATGCTTATTATTAAATACGCGAATTGCTTCCACAAACGTACAAAATAACGCGTTGTACATTTTAGCGGAAAGTGCCTTGATATGTTTTCTCATATATGCAGTCTTGTTTCTGTCAGCGAGTATATTCCTCATTATAGGATCGCTATCGGTGAGTGTTTAAAAGAAAATTGAATAGTTTTTCTGCTCATAAATCGATTTTAAGTTATACTAAAGCTGTTTAGTTTATGATGACACGAAGGAAGATTATTCAACTAATTTGAGAGATAACTTTGCTATATATTTTATTTTTTATCTTTATATTTAATTTTGAATTTATTTATGTCTAAGTTAATTTTAGAAATTATTAAATTCCGATAAGTATTCTGAGAAATTTTACAAACTTTTTAATTTCTTTCTTTGCAAAATATTTAGTAGCAAAGTACACAATTTTTTTTACAATACTCTGTTCATAAGCGAAGTATACGATTTTCATTGTTTTCTTACGAAAGGTCATAGCGATATCGCCGATCGAATACAAATTCGTCAAACATTCTTTATCCGCGAGATGTATTTTGGGCACGTAACAGCCTTGTCTCAACTCGCTAACGATCACGCTAACTTCCGCGTACGTTCACAGAAGAGACATACGGCTGCCGTGCCTTGGATGTATTTACAAATGGGTAGCCTAATAGATCAGGCTGTGTCGCTATGCAATCATATGATATATGATCAACGAACTACCTTATATTTTTGGTATACTACGATATGCAGTCTCTATTTGAGTAAGTACTCTAATCTTTTTTTTGTGATTTAATATAAATATATGTATTCTGAGATAATTGAATTCTGAATACATATACCTATATCCCGAATTACCTTTGTGAAGTCTGTTGATTAAACATAAACAAACGCTATTAATCTAATTTGTTCTTAAAATAAAAGTTTGAAAATTATTTGATAATATAAATAGATCGAAAAGATATACTTTTATGAATCACTATCAAAGTAATTTTACTCTAAAAGAAATCTTAACAAAAGTATTTAAAAATGAAAGAAATATTTATCCATCTAGCATTATGAATGATGTTTAATGATTTGTTATTAAATCTATCGTAAAGATAAATTGATTTATTAAACTAAAAAAAAATGCCTATTTTGTACAAAGATTGATTGATAATAATTACAGTGTTGAGCGTGTATTTCTGGATAGTCGTGGAAGCAGCCCGAAATCAATGGTACAACGAGCAAGATAGAGATACAAATTGTGACTCGTTCATGTTAAATACTGTATCAACGTCCACGAGTAGCAATCCGAAGTCACCGTCCTTTCTCTCGCAAAATTTTTCAATGTTTGAACAATCGCATCCGTCGACGATTCTGCCTATATAGCAGGAAGTTCATGAAGAAACATAAACAATCTCAAAACTACCCAGACAACATAAAGAATCCAAAAGAGAGACTTGAGACGTCTTTGGCGTCTTCAAGACGTCTTATGTCTCAATGTGTTGTCTGGGTATCCTGATAACTAGACTTGCCGCTTGAGGTAAACTTGCCAGAACTTATAGGATTGAGGATGATATTTACAGAACTATACGGGAAGAAGACTGAGAAGTTTTTAATACTTCATTATTATTATAAAGCGGCACCTAGACGCTCAATGTTATAGTACAACTATTTTATACAATATTACCAATGCTCTTTTTAAACAATTTAAAACTATCTAGAAGTTCAATATAGCTTCTAGACAATTAATAATATTGTGCAATATCAAATATTGTGTAATACATTGATCGTCTAAGAGCCGCTTAAGACGCGCTCTATACATATTTATTTACTAAATATGAACCAACTAATTTTGTAATATAAATAAATACCTACTTAATAGACACATCTCTCATGTTTAACTGCGTAAAAATTTTTGTCTCTAAGATTTTCATAGGATTATATTATTTTATTAATATAATTTTTACTTTGGTATTTATTTTAGCAATTGATTGATGTGTTAAATATTTGGTTCTGTTAGTAACTAATCGTGATAATTAATCTTTACATAAAATGTAAACATTAATTATTACATGCGCGTAAAAAAAAAAAATTGATAAAATATAAAATTTTAATAAGGACATGTTAAATGAAAGTAAATTTAATTAAACGTGTCCGAATATATAAATTTCAAATAAGATATGTAGATATATTTGATCCAAAAATATATGATTTTTCTAACATTATGATATTTATTCGTATTATATCATATTCACATTTCTTTAATGTTTTTATTCGTACGCTATATACGAAATTTCTAAGAATTTAGATGTTAAGCCGACAGAACATCTATTGATCTTCCTTGCCTAATGGAATATACGTGAGCCACTAAACTTCGCTGCGGTAAATCCCAGTTTCGAAACGGGGGAAATGTATAATAATGCGGAGAGTAACTTCATAAATCAGTCGGGAGATGCAACTAATAGAGTGTATCAAATGCGCCCCCGGCGGAGCGTGCTTGCATAGAAAATATGAGAAATGGCCGCGTTTTACGTCGAAATACTTTTAAACTTCCTGGATTCGAATTGCACGCAAGCATATTCGCAATACAGGATCGACCGTCTCTTTAGATAGAGGTCGATTTGTCCGAGAATGGTCACAACTTTTCGCAATACTCTTGAGAATGGTGATCAAATGTACAATAGATGATAGAGAAAAGCTCTCGATACAATTTATTGGAGATATTTTGTCGTATCAATTTCATATAACATATCTATTATGTTTTCAAGAAAATATATTCTAATAATAGCACATATAACATCTATTTGTTATTATATGTATTGAAAAGAAGTAAGAAGCAATCTTTATATTATTGAATTTCATATCATTTCAAAAGTAAATGTGAGATGATTTAAAATTTTGTTTGATAAGTTACTCTTTTTTCCATCTCTAGAAACAGATAAATATTTTGTTAAATCTTTATTTTAACTAAAACGTTCATATGCGAGACTTTGTTAACATCTACTATTCAGTTATATAAATTGTTAATTAAAAGAATTTTCTATTTCTATTTATAATTTCATTTCCAGAAAATTATTAGAAACAAATATTTTTTTATAAATAACACAACTTATCAAATTAAATTAATTTTCTATTGCTAAAGAAAATAACCTAAAGCAAGTAATACATCCATTAAAGTAAGACGAAAAAAAAAACAAATGTTTTTGTTAAACGATCTGCTCAATATTTTGTTAAATTATCTTTCTCGTGACGAGGAGTAATACTTCTGGATTTTTCAGTTGTCGACACGGTCTTGGCGTCGAGGACAGAAAGCGGGTTGCGGGACGTGGTTGGTTGCCGCTGCTTTTAAAAAGAACTGAGCGAGTCAATTTGTAGGCTGTCGCAAACTTTTAAAACACTAGTTGACAGCCGTTCCACCCCCGTCGCGACGCCCGTCCAACCGTCCTGAAGAATTCCTCCGTCTCTCTTTCTCTGTCTCTCTCTTTCGCTCTTCCCGTTTCCCTTTCGAGCTCTCTTTTCCTCTTATTCCTCGACTGCTATCGATGAAGGACCGGGGTACCACCCCTGCGTGTCGCTGCAGTCGATGGATTGTAAAATAAAACTAACTTGGCTCTTTCGTGGCTCTGGAATGGGAGTACTGGCGAAATCTCATTCCCGCGGATCTCTTTTATTTTCATGTACCCCTTTTTTATTCATTTCCCCGCTCAACGAAGGGAACCGGACGATTGTTGAGTACGATCAGCGAGTCACGTCTGTTTAAAGAAATGTTTGCCTTCTGCAGGAAGCTTAATGAGACCTTCATCTTACGGGATTCATGCTTAGTTGCTAAAAGTATTGCAACCCTTTACCTCTTTATTTTAAGTCATAATTAACCAGTATTTGCCCGTTTCAAAAAAATATGTAGCATTGTAATACAAAATACAATACAAAACATCAATTATTTGTTTTAATATTGCAATGAAACATCGTTGAAAGGTTATTCACAATTAGCGACATTAAATACGTAAATGGATTAAACATAGTAGATTATTAATATTCATATTATATAATATGTATTTATTGATTATATCTGATATAAATTCTGATCCGGGAGTTGCCATTTCAAAATCTTTCTAGCCAGTCATATTTCTGTACTTCAAAACTTTACCGTCCTTCTGGGTGATTTCCTTCAAAACAGATTTTACGTGACCTCGCCTACTTCGAGTCGTATCGAGCGGCCGAAGAAGAGAGTACCCGCTCGTATGACACACATAAAACGTAGCCGCGACGTAATTAATCTTCTCACATGACACTTTAGCTGGTTACGGGGCAGAGCTTGCCAAGAACCAGAACACAACATACCACTTAAGCTCGCCGCCCAGAAAACAATTAATACGGAAATTGATTAATAATTACCGCGCTCCAATTTCCACCCTCTCTCGGACTCTCGCCAGTCACCACAACGAGAGAATGAGAAGAAAGAAAGAGAAACAGAGAAAAAAAGAATACTAATAATTCTATATAAAAAACACACGCACTTGGTAAAAATCGCAGTGTTCCACGATATTCATTCGTTATCTAAATTCAACAGTAATTAATTTTTTGTTATTAAGACATCCTCAAGAGATTATTATTCTATTTTTAATTAATCATATTTTGTATTTTGTCACATTCTTTATTCATTCAAGGAGATTGTTCTCACACACACACAGAATATACATTTAACTTTCTTCTCTTTCTTAATAAAATATTTTATTTTATTAATAAAATATTTTTTCCAGATAATTAATATAATATTCCAGATATAAATATAATATTTTTTCCACGAGCAGCCAAAATTTCATGTTGAAATCGGCGTCTTATCGACGAAATTTAAATCATCACTCGTTGTTCCGCTTTCTTTGTGGCGTTTATACGTGCTGGGAGAACGAAGAGCCAATTTGGCATTACTTTTCTAGACAGACAGATTTTATTGATCTGTGCACCGTGGCGGCTCTCTGTCTCCTTCTCCCTTCATCTCACTCTCGCGAATGAGTGAGGGCCACAGAGTCCAGAGTCAGAGCCGAGAGAGAACGGCGGAACTGAACGCCCCATAAAGCTAACCAATGCTAATACTTCTCGTCTCGGCAGTGGCGTCGATGTCGAGCGGCGCGACGCCCGGCCGTCGATTCGCCTCGACGTCGGCGGGGAAGGACGCACCGACGCCGCTGGCCCGAACCGGAATCGGCAATAAACGCGTAACCGAGCCTAATTCGTAATGTTGGCCCAGTCATTGTGGACCATTGTGAATTCCCCGTCCCGTTCACCGGGGATGAGTATAATGCTGGGGTTATCGCAGGAAACTGCCAGTAACGGTGGCAAGAGGTATGCACTCTTCTCGATGCGCCGTCGCGGACCGTCCGGCTCCCTTATTTCAGTTTTATCGCGCGCCACTAAATTGATATTCGCAACGTTGAGTTGAGATTATTAATTTATAGTCGAACGAGAGGGAACCGCGTCTTCGACAATGCAATTCTTAATGTACTGAACCGAAAATTGTCAATCATTCGTAACACGATTGTTATGATACACAGAAAGCAATGTAATTATATGCAAAAAATTTAAGCAATTATATTTCATAAAAGTAAAAAAATTTTAGATTAATTTTGATACAAAATAAATGGTTAACAATCAGCCAAATTGCAGATTGTCAAAAATAATGTCAACGTAATTAAGCTTAAGTATATTAACTAGAGTTAGAAAATTAATATTGCTAATAAAAAGTTAATATTTAGTACCAAACAATTAATAATTAAAAATATGTTCAGCGGATAAACTTTGCTGAATAAACTTCCGTGTGTAAATCTCAATTTCCTTCAGCAATGTTCATCTTTTCCCATTCATGAAAGTCGATTTATCATCGACTCTGTAATTACGGCTACATTAGTAATTTGCAGTGCTACATTAGCGTTCTTCGCTTTGCCTTTATTCGGTGATTGCTGAACAACTCTGAGAAATTTGTAGGATTCAATAACTTATGGTAAAATAAAAATTGCAACGCCATATTCGACTTTCATTGCAATGAAAATCATATCTCATCAGCTATTGCTATATTACGGTTTATACAGCATTCTGAGGATAGATTTTTTTTTTTATTATAGAATATATATGTGTCAGATTTCCTACATCCTTAGGAAATTAAAAATTTGTAAACGTTTAATTGGCAAGACATTCTGTTCTTTATAATACAGATAATTTCCATATACGATTTTTAATTGGTGAGCTTAACATACATTCAATTATCGTATTGTATTTTGGGAAAAAGAGATTCTTTCCATGATTTCTTTTATAACATTTATTTTGTTCATTTTTCTCTTATCAGCCTGATTTCATCAATAGGCACGATTTTTCGACATATACAACTCCATATTTACAAATAAATATATAAATGAAAATCCACTATATTTAATAAACTGATTTGAAACTTATTTCTTTCATGCGCCAGGACTGCATATTAAAAATTATTAATAAAGAAATTTTCTTTTATCACTTTTTGTTTAATTCTACTTAATAAAGTTTCCTATGAGTCTCGCGTTATGTTTTACATAACTACAAGAAAGGAGAATGTGTTAATCT